TATTAATACTTGTGGTTTTATTATACAACAAATGTAAAATTAATATTGCAGTTCAAATCAATAAAATAAAAACTGCATAGCATGCAGTTTATAAAGTCCAGCCTTCTAATAACATTTCATGGAAAAGGCATTTGACATTTTAAACCTGAATGTGTGATACCCTCATGGGTAGTCAAACACCTCCTAGTATATACATTTTATGCTTTAAACATTACTATAAAATCTATATTCAATAGCACATTTTCCTTACACTTAATTACTTAAATACCCTCATAACAACAAAAGAAAGCATATTAAATTAACACGGCTTTCATCTGATTACTTAATAAAAAGTTATGTCTTCCGGAACTTTTATTTTCATCCAAACATGTATTCATTAAAACTGGAACTTATCTTGAAAGCTGTAATAATAATGCATGAACCTTAATTCAATAAATGCAAAGACCCAAGGCCATTTTGTAATTCTATCTTTAATCTTTTATTAATCAACATAGTTCAGATACATGCCATTCAAAGCAATTTTTAACACTGAAAAGCAATTAAACTTAGAGAAACTTGGAAATCTTAAATTCTCAAATGCATTCAACAAGATTCATTTTAATTGAACAAATATTGGTTGGGATCTATTGTCTATTACCTGCATGAAGATATATTTTTTGTATCACACTGTATAGAGTGTGATACCAAAAAGTGATATGAAAAATGCATTCATTTGATTGGCTTATCCAGCATCATAAAACGATAATGTGACACTTCCATTGGCTAATTTTTCGGTCATTGATGACTTTCAAAAGGTCAAAACAATATACATTTCCTCCATGGTAACGGTGATGTTTACAATAATATACAAAACACTAACACTTTCTTGAAAATCTTATTTTTGTAAATTTTACTACTTTCTGAAGCGTACAAAAAGTTTTAACATGTCTGTAGTTAAAGTTTTAAGACGGAACAGTACATATAAGGTAATACTGGTATGTGCAAAAGAATAGATCAACAAGTCGTAGGCTAGAGAATATCTACCATACGAGAAAGAGGTTTAACAACTTGTGATAAATGGATATTTCTTGATATCAATGCTTGTTATTTAATTCAAATAGTAATAACAAACTTGCCACAGGCTCGTTCATTATTAAAAAAAACTAAATATCTTGAATTAATATCATGCGATATCCAATTCTCACTTGTTATAAAACCTATAAGTATATGTCCCAAAAAAGTGTGAGGAAAATATTTGTTGAACAAACAGACCACTAAAAGACAAATGACTGACAGATATAATTGGTGATTGCAATATAGACCCCACACCTAGCCTAGTGGAATAATCAAAATATCTTGCTTGGTATTTGCTATTTCAGAATCTAAATAAAGAAGTGTTAATTATTATAATGTTTATACATAGTACACCAAAATGTAATGAATATTAAATTACTGTTTGCAATAATCTTGGGCATAACTCTTAAATATCTTTTGCTAAAGTCTTTTTAACCAATTATAATATCTTAAAATGTATACACCCAAAAACACTTGCTGGGAATTTGCTATTATTGTTTGTACACCAAAATGAAATGAACATTGCATTATTATTTAAAATTATCTTCCGTATAAGTCTTTTTAACCAATCAAAGGCTTGTAAGTGTATGCTTACAAAAGTATTACCAGGAATGCATTAGATTTTGAAACAGCTTCAAGCACATAATGTCCTTGATATAATATATAAAGTAAATTATGTACTTCCATCAGTGTTTGCTGTTGTTGTTGTTTTTTGTAATGTGATCTTACTATCATGCATGACCTTAAATTTGTTTTCTTCTGGCAAATAAAGTGTGAGTGCATCACTATCATTGCATTACTGTGTTTAGATATTGGATTTGATGACAGTGCTATCCTTTTCAAGCCCAGTTATTACAAAGAACAGTTACTACACAATGTCAATGTTACAAGATCTGATCAATCAGGAATATTTCTACCTTTGGATATGGGTTATATGGTACTTTGTAACATAAACCACAATAAAGAACTATGCCAACTTACCAGTATTCCAATGTTGGCCATTTTTAAAACTGCTATCATACAATAATATATGTGAAATAGGTATTTGCCCAAAGAAAGATATATAAGTAACATCCAATTTTCCAAAGATATATTTATTTACAACTACAATGTATCACATGAGGTAGATCTAGAGGAAATGTCTTGGCTATCTTGTGCTTGCCTAGAGTGCAGGAGATTATGGGTTTGATCCTGACAGATGGGTCAAACCAAAGACTTGAAAATTGGTACATGTATTTGCTGCTTATCTGCTAACCATCAAGCAAAAAGAAGTATTGGAGCATGAGCAAAGACTGGCTGACATGTCTTCTTGTGGGAAGTTCATGTCCTCTAAGTACATAGTGGGGAGATAATCAAACTCAGAATTCTACTGCTATCAACCACTCTCATACTATTTTTGTGAAGTATCAACAAAATTAGAATGGGTTTCTCTTGGATATCCATGTCTTATTTTTCTAGAGATGCTTGAAGAAAATAATAAATATAATTATTTCTCTAATTAGATTTTGTTTTAATTTTTCATTCACCAATGTGTTTTTTAGCTGAATAAATAATATAAATAATTAATTTTAAAACTCAATATACCCTAAAAAATAAGTATGGCAAACTACAGTTTTTAATTTATAAGGAGTATTATCCATAAATTGGAATCCCTTTCAGGAATCTAGCATCTAATTATAAAATGCCTTTACATAATGTGACACATATCATTTAACTGATCCTGTCACATAACTTGGAACTGCATTATACAGAAATACAGAGATTACCCCATTTATGGGTCATTCCCCCTCCTTACAGTACATATATGATACAAACTGATAATCTAACTATTTAATGAAGTTTTATCCTATTGTCTGGGGACCCTATGTACTATAATGACATTTCATTCTTTTTAGGACACTTGGGTATTCTTAAAGGTTTTGAAATGTTTAATGTACATGCAGGTTGCACAAAAATATCTTGACTTGCTATTCAATATTAAATTATACTTTAATAAGGTTATAATGTTGGATTGCAAGTAGATCAGAATGTGGTCTCTCATCGCTTCTATTTGAAAATGTGTTGTACCACTGTCACATGTTACATTTATAACACTGTTTTAAAGTGATTTAAATAGAGAATATCATATGGCTTTTTCAATATCACATCCGTATCAACCCAAGACACCAATATAATCCCAAGAGCTCTGCTCGAGGGATTATATTGGTTGAGGGTTGATACGGTGTGTGATATTGAAAAAGCCATATCATATACACTTTATTATATACATATACCTCACGTAGATGTGTTTAATGTGACATGACGTCATGCAGATTTTTTTTGACGTCATACAGATAAGGGGGGTTGAAATGACGTCATACAGATTATAGGTTTGACATGACGTCATACAGATTAGGGGTTTGATAAAGCCTTTGCAACAGTGACTGCAATCGATGACGTGACGTCATATAGATTAAAGGTGTGATAAAGCCTTTGCAACCGTGCTGATATCGATATCATCACGGGTGGCTGATACAGCACGCTTGCCAATGATTGTATTACACATACAATTTATCTGTATTTACTACTAAGTATATAATAAAACCTAGTGTGGCATCATAAAACAGCTGTATTTGCTAAAATTATTTAATAAAAAATACAAACTTTCTGCTCATTAATTCCCAAATGGAGTTTTGAAATTAATATAAGAATAATTAGGAGTGAAATTTGTAACAGGAAAAATATGTAATAGAAGAGGATTTTAATTCATAAGATGAGAAGTGGTTGATGAGTGGAATTTGTAGTTGGAGATGAGAGGAATTTGTAACATGCGTAATGGGAGAAGTGTTGAATATCTAATAAATGAAATTTGTTTTCAAGCATTCGCTGAACCATGAAAATATGACCATGTGAAGGACAAATGACATATGATTGATGGAAACTTTGTAACATAAGGTATCTGCATACAAGATATGAAGCATCCAGGTCTTCTACCTTCTGAAATATAAAGCTTTACACAAATAGTTTACGCCGCCGCCAGATAGTAATACCTATGTCTCGCATACTGCGACTTTCGTTGCAAAAACTATATTTTTTAAGATGAGAAGTGGATGAAGAGTGGAATTTGTAGTGGAAGATGAGGGGAATTTGTAGTGGTTGATATGTGGAATTTGTAGTATGAGGAATGAAAAAGAGTGAATTCCACATACGAAGAGTTGAAATAGTTGTCTTAGGAGTAGAATTTATCACATGAAGAGCCGATAAGTGGATTTTATAGCAGGATGAGTTGAAAAAAAGTAGAACTAGTTCTTCGAGTAAACCATAGAAAAGTGAAATTTGTAACAAGAATACTGGATATGGAAAGGAAAATAATCATTTCTGATCTATATTTTGCTGAAGTAAATCTCATTACTCATTCAATGAAACAAAGTAAAAATTCCTCACCATCCTTTATACTTGAAACAAATGCTGCTTATAGCATGAACTTTAATTTAAAAAAAAGATTAAGCAACACAAATAAATTTTTCATCAACTTTTATTGTTTATTGAAACCTTTAATGAACTGGACATACCAATTTCAATTAATTCTAAAAGCAGGAAAAAGTATCAATGATTACTTACAATAATAGCATGCTGATTGGGAATAAATAAAACATTTCAGAAACTACTGTGTATGTACATACTTTAAATTGTTTATATTTATATATATATATATAATATAGGGAGATGTGAGGTATATGTCAATGTGACAGCAACAAAAAAACACAATTAACATATAGAGGCAAAATCTCTCAGTTGAAAGAGCTAAACCAAAAACATCAATTTGTTCATTACTTTTTTCTACTTGAATCGTTCTAATAATTTTTGATTTTGCATCTATTCTCATATCTAAATATAAATATATTTCCATTTTCAAAAGGTACAGAAGCAAAGAATAAAAAAATATGAAATTATTGGTAATGCTAATATACAATTGTTTATCTTTTCAGAATTGACAGTATGGAGCAGAACTTTACAAATCTGACTAGTGACCCAGTAGGCATATGTGATACTTCAGAATCAAAAACATTTCAATTCTATGCATGGGGAATCGTGGCTAATATTATCTCTGCTTATGGAATTATTGGTAACATCCTGTCCGTTATAGTGCTACGTCACAGGATCATGCAGAACTCGACATCTTATTATCTTATCTCGCTTGCTATTTATGATACAATTGTACTGTTGTCAATGTCCCTATTTTTAGCTATTCCTACGATTTATTTAGCGAAGGGAGATTTAGAGGATTACTACTATGCTTATATGTACATGCATCCATTTTGTTATCCTGTTGCACTTTTTGCTCAAACTGGAACAATTTACACCACAATGGCATTTACAATAGAAAGATACATTGCCGTCTGCAGACCTTTAGAAGCAGCAAATACATGTACACTTTCCCGAACAAAAAGAGTGATATGTCTGATATTTGTTTCATCATTGGTCTACAATTTACCGAGATTCTTAGAATATGAAACTGTACAGTACATTGACCCCAGTAGTAATACCACACTTCCAAACATTCAGCTTACACAAATTGGGACCAATGAAATTTTCCGCCAAGTTTATTTCATTTATCTAAATCTTTTTACAATGTTTCTGCTTCCGTTTTCATTTCTTGCAGTATTAAACATCCAATTAATTCGTGCAGTCAAAGTAGCCAGAAATGCAAGGATTAAGATGAGTACGTCTGCTTCTAAGGAAGCGAATTTGACGGTAATGCTAATTGCGGTTATCATAGTCTTCTTGGTCTGTCAATTACCATCAATAGCCGACAATATCCTCTGGACTATATTTGAAAAAGGACAATTGCACTGCTCAATACATTACATAAGATTTACAACCATGAGTAATCTTATGGTGGTGGTTAATTCGGCTATAAACTTCATCCTTTACTGTTTATTCGGTAAACGATTCCGTAAAGTATTCATTAAAATCTTCTGCAAATGGAAGAAGACAGAGCCACAATTCAAATACATTATGTATGATAGTGTGGTTATAAACACTGGCAGTCGAAGGGTACTGAACCCTACAAAGTTTTATGACACCGATAGTACATTTGTATAAAAGGAAAAAAACAACTTTATGATGTAAATTACCGTTAAATGAATATGACAAGTAATTGACTGGACAGGAAATAAGAGAAAATTGAACACTTAACAATTATATGAACTTGTAACAAATAAAAAACATCATCGTGTATCTTTACGCTTGCAATTAAAGAGTAGATAACTGCAGTGAAATACGCTATATAGATACCAATGTCGTTAATTTATTGTTTAATTATAATAAAAATTTAAAACCAGAGTTTATTATTGATGTTATATGTGCAAAATGTTTATTTTATTTTTGTCATTTGGACTGAAACCACATAAAATGTATCAATTGAAAATAAATGGATAACAAAACAAAACAATTTAGTAGTCTCTATAAGGTAGATCAATGTCATCTATTTCCTATCTTAATAATCTTAAGAAATGATGATGAATTTGAAATCATTTTGTACAATTTGTTCTGTTAAGTGCCGTCTAGTCAATTAATTTGTCCAGGTTAATCATGGGTTTCTGATGTTCCAACTAGAGTATAACAGGATATATATGGCCACCATAATTCCACAAAAATTATCTACGGTCATCATACTACAGCTGTATTGGATTTCTTTTTTAGTAACTTCCTCTACAGATAATCCTTCACTTGTCATACCACAGCAGCATTCAGTCAACTCAATATCTAAACAGAGCACCTGAGATCAACAACAACCCAACCCTTCCTGTCATGTCTTCAGATCTTACACACTATTATAAACAAATATAAACTGAGCAAAAAGAAAGATTCAATTTTAATCTGATTAACTATCAATACATTATACCTTAACACTTAATTCTTTAAGGAATAAAAAACACTATAATATATTGACCACTGACATAATTTCTTACTTAGGACATGAGATAGGGTTAAAGGTTGGGTGCCCGCTAACATGTTTAACCTTGCCACATCCTGAATGTGCCTGTCCCAAGTCAGGAGCCTGTAATTCAGTTTTTGTCGTTTTTTGCTATATATAATATTTGTATTTCAATCATTGTTTTTGCATAAATCAGGCCGTTAGTTTTCTCTTTTGAATTGTTTTACATTTATCATTTCGGTGCCTTTTATAGGTGACTATGCGGTATGGGTTTTGCTCATTGTTGAAGGTCATACAGTGACCTATAGTTGTTAACTTCTATGTCATTTGGTCTCTTGTGGAGAGTTGTGTCATTGGCAATGATACCACATCTTCTTATTTTCATATTAAACTAGTTTTTCAAGAATTCAACCCTTTCCCTTTATTACCCCAATCTGCTAAATAGCAAAATTCTTGATTCCAGACTATTATAAGCTTTCATTGACAGGACAGTCATAATGTAATCTACTTTCAGTGTGTGATTAGTCAACAGAAATCTTCAAATCTATTGGTTTAAACATATTGTATTTTAAACAAAATGGATTACACACAATTAAGAAATATCTTCTCTAAATGCCTGTATAATACCATTTCAAATTCATTTAGTAATTACCAGTTTAAAACTAGTCTACTGTCCGTCTATTCTTGAACCCTGATTGACATTTTTTTAACGTTTATCTGTAGAAAGCTAAGACTTGTTAATGTTTACTTCCTGATGTTGTTACTTGAGAGTTAGTCTTGGTGTACTTTGTAATAGGAAAAAATAATACTGCCTTCAGTTTGAAATACACACATGACATATAATTCTGAAATGACCCTTGTTTGGAGAACAAATAAAAAAAAACATTTTAGATCATAAAACCTAAAAAAATAAAATCATAACATGATTGGCAGTAATGTTGCTTACTATATAAATGTGATTGGCTGTAATTTCAATTGCTATATTTTACAGTAGACAGAGCTTAAGGATAAAAGTTTTTGGAATGGTTTCCCTAAGTAAAACTGTTAACATATACAGTCAAACCTGCTATAAAGGTCATCTCTATATATAAAGAGAACAAGAGTACACACGCTGAAATGTCTTGCCTGTTTTACTTATCATTGAATTTATGTTGAAAGTTGACCTGTTGCTTATAGTATCTGATAAACTGACAAAATTACGAAAACATACCATTGACCAATGAACCATGAAAATGAGGTCAAGGTCAGATGATACTGGCTAAACCGACATGTACACCTTACAATCATTCCATACACCAAATAAAGTTGACCTATTGCTTATACTGGTAGTACATGAAAAACAGACCAAAACACAAAAACTTAACATTGACAAATGAACCATGAAAATGGGGTCTAGGGCAGATGAAACCTGCCAGACTGACATGTACACCTTACAATCATTTCATACACCAAATATAGTTGACCTACTGCTTATAGTATCTGAGAAACAGACCTAACTCATATAACTTTAACCTTGATCACTGATCCATGAGATGAGGTCAAGGTCAGGTGAACCCTGCCTGACAGACATGTAGACGTTGCAAGGAACCCATATAACAAATACAGTTATCCTATTACTCATAATATGTGAGAAATTCACATGACAAAAAATCTCAAATCTTTTTTCAAGCAGTTGCTGAACCATGAAAATGAGGTCAAGGACAACGGACATATGACAGATGGAAACTTCATAACATAAGGTATATTGCATACAAGGTATGAAGCATCCCGTTCTTCTACCTTCTGAAAGATAAAGCTTTATACAAATAGTTTACATCACCACCACCAGTAAGAAAAAACTATGTCTCCCATACTGAGAAATATGTCGCAGGCTGTCTTGTCTTCTCAGGTCACTCTCTTCTTGTCCCACTGTAGTAATACCTTAAAAGTCACCTCTCTTATGAGGTCAGTTTTCTTTGCTCTTGAGGGTGATCTTTATACACAGGTTTCACTGTATAAATGTTTATAGTGCAGACAACAGAAACAAATGTGATGACAATATAAAACACATTCAACATTTGAACCAAGGTAAAAAGAAAACTGTGGGCTAAGGCTTACTTATGATAGTCCCCTCTTTAAGAATCGGTAAACAGGAAGTTGATGAGAGATGAATCTAAAAATGCACCACATGAAGCCTGATATACAATTTTATGAAGCTCTAATTAGTAGTTCCCAAGAAAACTATATATTAAAAATTTTTAGTTCCAGATAAAAAACGTGACAGAACTTCATGGGACAGACAGAGGAAAAAAGTGTACTACCCTCTCCTCCTTCAGAATGGCAGTTTAACTATCATCTTGATTACGTAAACAACTATTATAGAAAGTGAATTTTCTTGTAAAAGGAATGAAAAAGGAGATTTTTGTTGAATTACATTGAAACTACAACCCAAAGAAACAAACAAGAGTGCACACGCTGAAATGTCTCGCCTGCTTTACTGAGTATTGATTTTATGTTGATAGTCCTAAATATAGTTTAACTACAAGTATCGCATAAATTCACATGTTTAAAGAAAATGAGGTCAAGGTTAGATAAACCAAATCAGAAATACCTGTACACCTTACAATCATTCTATACACCAAATATAGTTCGACCTATTGCTTATGATAACAAGAAACAGACCAAACCATGAAAACTTTACAGTGACCAATGAACCATGAAGATGAGGTCAAGGTAAGATGAAACTTGCCTGCAGACATGTACACCTTACAATCATTCCATGCTTTAAATATAGTTGACCTATTGAATATAGTATCTAAGAAACAAACTTAACCAGGAAAAGTTAACACTTAGCAATGAACCGTAACAATGAGGTCAAGGTCAAATAAAACCTGCCACACTGACATGTACATCATAAAATATTTCCATACACCAAATGTAGTTGACCTATTGCATACAGTATTAGAAAAACAGACCAAAACACAAAACTTAACTTAAACCACTGAACCATGAAAATGAGGTCAAGGTCAGATGACACCTGCCAGTTGGACATGTACACCTTACAATCATTCCATACACCAAATATAGAAGACCTATTGCTTATGGTACCTGAGATATGAAAACTTAACATTGTTCACTGATTCATGAAATGAGGTCGAGGTCATGTTAAAACTGTCTGACAGGCATGAGGACCTTGTAAGGTACGCACAAACCTAATATAGTTATGTTATTACTCATAATAAGAGAGAAATTAAGATTAACTTTTTTTCCAAGTTATCACTGAGCCATTAAAATGAGGTTAAGGACAATGGACATATGACAGACAGAAACTTCTAGCATAAGGCATCTATATACAAAGTATGAAGCATTCAGGTCTTCTACCTTTTGAATATTAAACTTTTAAGAAGTTAGTTAACTCTACTATCGCTGCTGCCAGATTGCTATGTCTAGCTTTCTGCGACAGAAGTCAAAGGCTTGACTATAATGAAGACATCTAGATAGTGTTGAACAATGAACAATTGTTTATATAAAATGTCAAGCTCTAAATGGTCCCAAGTCTAGATCAATTGTGAATAAATATAACAGAGACCAATAAAGATTCGTCATTGACATCAAATTCACAAAATGACCACAAAAAAACACCAAAAAAATTAAGATTATGAAAAAGTCATATTTCAATAAAAACATTTTCTTAAGAAATTCTTTCATGCGTAAAAATTAAAAAAAGGAACATATTTTACATTATTGTAGTAACTGAACCATTTTTATTAAAAAAAATCTAATTTTAAATCAGAAGCCAACAGAACATAATTATGTCTTCCCTCACTTCATTAAATTCCTGTCACAACTCTAATACCATGATCACAGCTGCCTTACAAGACTTAGACAAATTAATTCTACAAATATCAATTCTATTTCACACGTAATTATATTATTCATTATCAAAGGATGGTGTTTTTCTTCGTCTCAACAAGCATTAAATCAGGCCATTACTCAATTATACATTAGCTGAACAGTTTTCATGTTCTAAAGGTTAAACAAAAGAGAGAAATAAATTTTTATTGATATTTAGCACCAAATCAGTGTAAAACAGTCAAAATAGTAGGACACAGTCAGACAAGAATACAAACAATGCTGAATCAGTGAAAAACAGTCAAAAAGTAGGATCTCCTACAATAATGCAAACAATACTAGGTATATTGTAAGGAGACTGTTTTTATAAGGAGAAAAAAAACTAATATTGAACTGAAATTTCAATAATTAATCTCACATTTTTGTCCAATGTACA